TCTTTCATCCAATCAGCTGACAGTGAGCTCTGCACATGAGTGTTAGACCTGAGGATACCACAGACCACAGAGAACTAATATTACTGACTCAGCTGAGGAACATCTGGAGAGGACAGTAAATGTAGTCTTATTTTCAGTTGTTAACACACCGACTGTACATGGGTTTAATCATACACAGGCCTCTGGTATGAAGAGCTGTCAGTCACTTTTCCAGCCTGAAATGTTTCCATCTCTGTGCTTGGGCTTGAACTAGCTTCTCGTCTCCTTAACACGCTCAGAACACAGCAGCTCTGTCTTCGGTGTTCCAGCAGCTAATTCTGACACAGGTCTGTCCTCTCCGTTTATTTACATCATTGAGACAGAGCCGCAGTGAAACGGCTGTACCCTCCGTCTCTGCACTGATGGATGTCTGTCTGACAGGCTGTTGCCCGAGCAGCAGCAGCAGCAGCAGCACTGTGTGTTTGCCGTCTCGTGTGCAGGCACCAGTAAGCCTGTGAGGGACGGAGACATCTGTATATTCAAGTTTTCTACTCCTGCAATGTGCTGCTCAGTGTGCATGGCGGGACACGAGGAGGTGCACGCTCGCCTGGCTGCGTGGCGAGCCGTGGCCGCCATGATTGTTGTGTGAAACTGTGAAATAAAGATGAATCAATAAACTGAAGAGATGTACAGTACATGTGTGTGTGTGGCCTATAGACTGTGTGTGGGTTATTGTATCCAGGCACACAGAGGCCTAAAACATCTGAGTACATTTCATCATTTGAGAAGTGATCGATGCATTTTAAGCTTTGATGGATATTTTCTGTCAGTTGTGAATGGTATCAGATGTGGCACATATCTATATCTAAACACAAAGAAAAGAAATACAATGGGCATGAGCATTTTTATATTGGCTTGTGTGGCTTTAGGTGGAGTCAACTAAATACATCGATTGGTTTCTTCAGTAACTCAAAAAAGCTTACAAAGGATGTGAACAGGTTCAAAATAAAGAAATACTTTTTAGGGATTATATTATTATTAATTAAGTTTGTTCTAACCATAGCTTAATAACCCTATTCAGTCCACTGGGGTTATGGCTGTGGAACAGACTGGTATGACTGGGTATGAACTGTGTATACATACTTTATTTCCATAACTAGTATGTGAGTAAGCAAAGTGAATATTGGTTTGATTTCAGATTGGTTTTTCAGTAGTTGAACTAATAGCTGCTGAGATTAGGAAGAAGCCAAAACAAAGAACATCTGGTTTAATCGAAACTGAATGAAGAAGATAGGCTACATGAATTTAATGAAACAGAAATGAAATGCATTTTGTTTTATATCGTCATTTGTATAATTTTATATTCAATTCAGTTTAATTTGTATTTTGCGGGAATTGTATATATATATATATATATATATATATATCAATAATGAGTTTGAACCTTCTAAATGTATATTAATGTTATCTTGAACATGACAAAGAGTCTGCAGTCATGCTAGCTTAGGGAACTTTGAGCTAAATGCTAACACTGTCATGCTAACATGCTGATGTTTTTTCCAGGTATAATATTCACCATGTTCACTGTCTTAGTGTAGCTCTGAGCTTAACTTAGCTGATTAGCACTAAACACAGCTGAGGCTGATGGGAGAGTAATGTCACAGAATGGCTAACATTGTGCGGTCGCTACAGGGAGATTTTATACTGTTTCTAAAACGACCTTCTTTTCTTTGGTTCAGGTAAGTAAGGTAAGTACGTCACATATAGCCCTGATTTATTTCCTTTGGGGCATAATTATTGTTTATGTGTGGTATTATTGTGTGTCATGTAATCCCCTGTGGTATGGAGCATTTCAGTGGTATGTACGTAAAATAAAAAATATATTCATTCAGTTATTTATTCCACAATCAGTAGACACAAACTAAAATAAACTACATTTTAGCTATAAATACATCTATTTTTCTTTGCATGTGGATATTGAAAAAGCATAAAAACATATACTGACACGCACTCACGAATTTACACACACTTATATTTTCAGTCTGTGGTTGAGTTTGTGTGTTTTCAAGCCTCATTTGCAACATTTGAGAAGCTTGTTTTTTTTTTTCTCTCTCTCTCAATGTGAGATTCCCGGAGGCCATTTACAGAGACACAGTCAGCAGATTCTGGCAACATGTACGAGCATGATGTTTATTTTACTCATCAGAAATCAAAGTCGTCTTTGTGCCCAGCCAGGGTTGCATTCCCAGGCTTCAGAGAGGTCTCTCTGAGCTCAGCATAGCGCTTGCAAGCTGTGGTTGAATCACAGTCACAGGGATTTCAAAACAGCTGGGAAGCTTCATCCAAAACCCTCATGCACAACGCCGCAGTGAGACACCTCAGCAGAGTGGAGGGGGGGAGGGGGGGTTATTATGTGGAAACTGTTAATGAAGGGGAAGCAGGTTATTTCATCCTGAAATGCTGTAAACTGCTGGCACTCGGCTTTTGACTGCAGTTCATTTAATAGGTGTATGTATTTATTTGATTATTTGTTGTTTTGACATTATGACAGCACCTCTTGCACAATTATTCCCGCATGTAGTAATGCTCAAAAACAAAAAGGCATCATGCTGCGTTCATGTCATGTGGGAAAATTACGTAGTGGCTAAGAATTGGTTCGGATTTGAAGCACTTTGAAGCTTTAAAGATGGTGATTGCACTTGTAGGTTTTGGATTCTCCTCATAAGCTTTTTCACATGTGCACTTGGTTACGGAGTTCGTGTTTAACAGAAAGCCAAACATAGAAATGTAAACCACAAATGACAAATCCAGCGAGTTGTACGTCCGTGTGCTATTTTTTCATGTCAGCAAAAAGTGACTGAGGTCATACAGTTCTCTTGGTTTATTTAAAGCTGAATGTATCATTTTCTGCTTTTCTTGTTTTCCTTTCCTTGACACCAGGACTGAGGAAGAGAAATCAAAGTGCGCCATTGAGCCTCAGTTCTCGTGACCCAAAAGCTCAGCTGAATGGCTTTCTCAAATACCAGGAAGCTCTTATTTACTCTCTGACCCGTATGACATGAATGCAGCATAGTTGCTGAAGAGGATCTCACAGTAATCCACTTACCTGGGTTGTTTTTAACCTGTGACCCTCCAAAACACAGCAACTTAGTAGAATTTGATTTGGTAAAATTCGAACACTTTAACTACTTAGTATTTATGAGCTGTATATTTACAATTAATTGTTTATAATGTATTTGTAAGCTGATATAAGCACATTTATTTATATATACACACACACGTGTTTAAATATACACACTGAGCTCAGAGGTTCATTTCTGAGCTTAGGAATAGTAAAAAACATTTAACTCAAGGACCACTTACTGTACTAAATTTCCTCTGGAGCTTTCAGCTGCATCTGGTGGCCCTCAGCAGCCGATGGAGATTGCATAGTTGCCAGAGAGTGTTTATAAGTAAGTAGGCTACATATGAGTAAATAAAACAGATCAATACTATATATTCTCTATTTATATTAAAGCTGCAGCAGGTCATTCAGGGTCATTTATAAAAATAACTTTTTGTCATATTTACTGAAACTCACTATATCCTGACAGTAGTATATGAGGCAGATCATCTGTGAAAAAATCTGGTTTCTCTGGGTTTTGTTTTAGTCTTAATGGTATTAGCAAGATTCCGCTGGGCTGGAACGAAAACAACCAATCAGAGCTGAGAAAGATAGTTTAATTCACAGTTTCATTTATTTACTGATAAAGTTTCAGCAAATATTTACATTTAATTAAAAAAAAGTTATTTTTATAAAAATGACCTACTGCAGCTTTAAATATGAAGATATTGTTATCCTTTATTGTCACTCATTCATTATTTGTTTATACACCACTTGCAAATAATGTACAAAAAAAAAAAAACAACTTCTTAAAAATCCCATCAAAACATATATTAAGACACATACAAATAGTCTGCCTGGAACAATAACATGTTTTGCTGCTGGACACAAGATGTCTCCTACTTCACTGTAAAGTCCATTCTCAGTGGATGTGCACTGGTGGCTTCAAGTTTCTACATCACACTGTACAAGTTGATACTGGACCAGGACTGACTTCCTAACTATTTGTGATCATGCTGGTAGGCCCCGGCCCTTAAAATCAGATGTTCAATGAGCTCAGAGAAACTTTCCACTTTCAGCAGATGAATGTGAAAACATCCTTCTAGAGTCAAACTCTGCACAGACAGTATTCAGACAGCACACTGTGGGATCAAAAAGAAACACTGATTTTTGACTGGAGGGGGACTTTAAAAATGCTAAATTAGGAGATAATTATGACAATGAAATGTTAATTCCTTCACTATTCTGTATTGACATAATTGATAATAATATTGTCTTGTAGTACTGAGTCTTTGAAACAAATTCTGTTGTCACACTTCAACCTTACATGCATTCAGCTGGCTCATTAGTAGTAGTAGGTTTTCTGCTTTATTGTTAACATAAGTATGCAGACGAGTGTAATTCCTCTGTGTAGGCTACAGTGGCTGCTGACTAACATACATTACCTCCTACCCAACATGTGGATGGTTTGTTCAGTATGAATGTTTGATCCCACCAGCATGTTCCACTGATTTGTGAACAATAATCAAAGATCTAAAGCAGGCCTTTGATCCTACATTCATAGCCTTTAGAGCCCTGACAGCAGCCAGTCCCATACCAGCCCCAATCTGGGACAAAATCAAACTCATGTCATGACAGCTTGAATAAAAACTGTTGAATTGTCTCAAATCTTTTATTGTGTATTACCATCTGGTATGCAGTCTTCTGTCATTACCTTATTATAATGTATGTATAAATATTTAGAAATTTAGACACATTATTCATGACTGAGCAGATGATTCTTATGGTCTTATCTGTTTTATTCAAAGGAAGGCACCTACGAATGCTAAATGCTAGCAGGGTCTGCTCAGCTATGGGAAGAAAAATCTCACTCTGTATTCATACAAACAAGAGAAAAGAAAAACAAACATAAATCGACTTCTTTCTTAGAATTAGTTTTATTCCACAGGCGTTTTCTGAGGGGAAAATCATGAAATTTCCAACAATTACATCATTTACCAGGAACAAATATTTATATTGCACAGTTCGGGAAGAGGAGGCAGAGGTGACAGTCAGCCAGAAACATCATTAGGATGAGACAGAGTTACTATCAGCGGAGATTTTGACAGTGGGATGTAATATTCATTCATATATGTTCTATCAATGAGTGAATTGAGCTGAAATTGATCTAAAAAAGCTTTACTCATCATAATTATACACATTCATTCATTCATTCTATTTCAGTAGTTTTTGTGTATTTATGTATTGTAAATATATTTCCAGATATACTGTTTTCTCTCTGATGGGAATATTTATCTGTACTCGTTTATTTACACTATTTCTTCACTATTGTATGTTGTGTGGACATTGTGTTAATTAGATTGCGAAAACCATGTGCCTTAAAGTTTTCTGAAGGCTTTTTAATTTCCTTACTTACGATTAACTACCAAACTCAAATAACTTTAGCAGGAAAAAACTCACCTACAGCTACACACAGGACACGTTAATGAGAACTAATGTAATCCTCATGCCAGTGCTTATTTGATTCCTTGGACCAGAGACCAGAGAAATTGAAACACTTGGAGAGATGGGAAATCAAAAGTGCTGGTGCATATAACAAAAGCTATAGAATGTCTGACAACAGCTTTATAATGCAATTAGTCATGGCTAACCAGAAAGCATGTAATCCAGTTAGAACAGCTATTGCCAGGAGGACTTTTATTTTGAAAATGCACAAATGAAATCACTGCAGTGTCATCAAGTATCAGTCAGTAACATGACCTCCTAGTTAGACGTGACTTAAAAAATGAACTCGTTTGATGGTGTTGCTCGATATGTGGAGCTTTAACGCGGCAGTCTCCGAGGTGCTATGAATGTTTTATAGAGCGGAGTTCATGCAAAGTGTTGCTGGTGGATGATGGGAGCAGATAGGACGCGCAGCCAGCGGTGGCCTGGGCTGAGCTCTGTGCTTTGTTCCCGGATCGCGGGGTTAATGGTTTTCCGTACTGGGTGGTGAGGGAGGAGCGGTGCAGGTTTTTCAAGCATTCTGTGTCGGAAAATTAGGATGCAGCCTCTGTTGTCAGAGCCGGGGAGCTGTCTGCCACTTTCCCAGCAGCCCCTGGGCCGGTGACAGGGAGATGGATGATATCTGCAGCCTGGCCGCACTGCTCCCCCAACGCACACAAACACACACACACACACACACACACACACACACACACACACACACACACACGCACACGCAGTCTGTCTCTAGTTCTCTCTCTCACACACACAAATAGAGCAAAACAAAAGCACACCTACACACACTCTTTTTCCTCCCTTTCTTACCCTCTCCTCGTATTCTCTTTTCCTCTGACACACACACACACACACACACAAACACACAAAGATACACACTTACAGAGCGTATGAGTATTTGTCTAATACACCTCTCTCTTTGTTGCCTTTGGCAACAAAACCAATATCCTACATATCAAGGGGAATGAAAACCTCTCAAGTGAAAACAATGAAAATGTTTTGAGGCGAAGCTGCAGGATTCCTTCATTGTTTGCTTACATGGAATAAAACATTACATTTCTAAATAACCAAGCACAGAACACATTCGACATTTATTGACATTTATTGAAATCACTCTATTTACAGTATGGAATAGATATTGTAAAGACTACTATTATTACATTTTCTGTCACATAAAATACAGGAAACTATTATTTGTGAATGAATGCATTTTGGAAACGTACAGCAAGTCAAATATTTTATCAACAGAGAAAACTGCACGACCCCAAATACTACGGCATCTCAGCTAGCATAACTCAGCAGATAGCGTTACTTATCTGAATTCAAGAAAACACACACTTACTGTCCTTCACTGTAGATATGGCATTGGGAGGGAGGCTGGACTTGAACCTGAGAATATGTGTGTGTGTGTGTGTGTGTGTGTGTGTGTGTGTGTGTGCATTACAGCAGTGTAAAGTGTACGAGTGTATGCATGTGTGTGGGTGTTACGTCCTTAAAAGAAGTCCATCCCTCTCTCCTCCTCTCTCTCTCATTGTCCTTACCTGCTATCCCGCTCTCCGCCACGCTGCTGATGTTCCCGCAGTCGGGACCGAATCCAGCAGCCGTGTCACCTGAGCAACAGCCGCCGCATACTAATGAGGAGCCGAGGGGAGGGGGGGCTTGACTCTGCTCTGCGCTGGCAGGAAACGCCCCCCCCTCCGCTTCTTCAACCCCACCAAGCCCCACCACCACCACCACCACCACCTCTTTTCTTCTTCCTCTTCCTCCTCATCACCCTGGAAGAACAAGAGAGAATGGGGGGCTGTAAAAGGCGAAGGATTGTAGAAAACCAAGGAGAGGAGAGAAGGGACAAATAAGGTGAGAGTGGAGCTGGAGCGGTGGAGAGGAAGAGGAGGAGGAGTAGGAGGAGGAGGAAGGGGAGATGGTGAGATGAGAGGAGAGAGAGAGAGAGAGAGGGAGGGTGGAGAGAAAAGGAGAAAGAGGCCTGCTAGGGAGCGGGGTGTTAAGGGAAACATCCATCACTGTTTTAAGTGACTGCAGTGGGACGGAGCTGAGTAAAAGGTCGTCTGGTCTCTTTCTGTGCACTGTGGGCACCTGGGCAGAGCTGAGCGGCTTCCAAATGACTCCAGGCTAATTATCTCGCGCAGGCCGTCTGTTACGGCAGTCTGACACTTTTACTGACTCACTCCACTACTGCAAGTGTGCGAGGAAAACACCCAACCACCATCCTCCACTCTAGTCTGCTAACAAAATGGATCAGACAGAACAACACTTTGTTTTGTTGCAAATTCAAGTTGCGTTTTGTCTTACCTTGGAGCGCGGAGGAACACAGACAATTGCCACGGCTCCTAGACAAGAAGAGATAATGATAGCAATTTAGAATGAGTGTGGTAAAATAGAAGATGCAGGAGGGTTGATCATGTTCCCTGTCTTTACAAGGATGGGAAACCCCTTCAGGAAAGCTTAGAAGTAAATGCAAAATTCAGCAGAATCTATCTCTGCAACGTCAGCTCTTTAGTGGTATCAAAGACCATCTCTACAAAATCAGTTATCCAAGTGTCCACCTGCCCAGGGGCTCAACGGATGCACTTGAGGACACAGTAGGAATTTGTGGTCATGACCTGTTTCAGGGACACAAAGCAAACCAGCAGAATGTGACTAGGCTAGCTGAACGTGTGTGTATGTCTAAAAGTACGTGCGTGTGTTCCTGCCAGTTACAATGACAAGTTTTATTTCTAACCACAAGTCAACAAATTTTAATCTTTAGTTAATAAAATAACTGACTGCAGCACTAATGTCAGCGTACAAAAGGAAGCGAGAGGCTTACAGTGTAAACTCTGGTTTGGCTTCTCTGCCAAAGTTACAACAGTTCAGCTGTCTGGTGACCAAGGGGTTAAAAGCTTTGCCTGTGGCGACAATGCTAGGCCAGCTATAGGTCACATTCAAGTCCCAGCCACTGGATAGCCAACCTGCAAGACACAGCATAATTATCCCAGCCAGTTACAGTTCAATAACTCCATCAAGCTGCTAGCCAGATACCAGGTTTCCCTGGCAACGCCTCCGAAGTGAATCACAGATCAGAGAGAGAAGGGGAGATAAGACTGGACCCGTGGAGGGAGCAAGGAGGACCGAGGGGGAAAACACCCTCAAATACTGTGGACCTTTGGACAATACGAACACAAATGTGCAACGCCGACATGCACACACACACACACACACACACACACTCACACACACACACACACACCACAAACCAGGTCTGAGAGCATTCCAGTTGGCTGCGCTGAGACCTCTGGCCTGCCAGGCCGTCAGTCTGTTCCCTTTGAGCTTTGTTGTTTGGTTTTCAATCATCAGCCCACTTTCCAGACTCCTGCTCTGCACCCACAGGCCCACAGTAAAAAAATTCTCGGGTCTCAGCGCAGCTCGACTGTCCTTTCAACAGACACCCCCACCTCCCTCAGCACTTACTGTAATCTAAAAAAGTTAATGGAGTTTATCTCTCATCCCTGTCGCCCAGAGAATAATAGAGAAACTTTTGTGCTTTCGATGCACAGGGATAATTATATTACGAGTGGCACTACGATTTATACCCGTGATTGAATTAAAAACAAAATTGAATTGGCTTTAGTGCAGATTTTAAAGGGGGGGGGGTCGGCTTCGTGAATAAAATGTGTGTCTGCACGGGTGCATGTGTGTGGTGTCAGGCACACTTTCTGTGTGTGTTCAGGTGACTGTCTGGCCTCCTGCCGCAGTGTCTGGAAACTCAGACGTCCCCCACCCCTGCCCCCCTCCATTCCACGCTGCTCCACTATCAGGCATACCTGACGCCCCCCCCCTCCACCACTACCAGCACCACCTGCACCTCCTCCCCCACCACTGCGATAAGAGATCCACTGAACACTAAGCTGCTTCACTAGACAACACAACCTGACAATCAATACAAAAAAAATAAATAAATAAATAAAAAACAAGCCCTCTAATTCACTAAATCCATCTGATTTCCATGTCAGCTCGAGCCCAAATCCAAACGCGGGGGATAAATGTTAATCTGTCCTTATTACTTTTATCGGCGAGCGATGTGGCGGCGCAGTGTGTTACATGACCACCTCTGAACAATGGAGTGTAATCTCTCGCACACACTCGGGTCCATCAGCTGGAGCCTTTGGTTTATCTACACCTATTCAAGGTCTGAATCAATCTTTCCTGCAGGAACTTCAAGACTAGCTGAGTATAGAAACCACGGCGTGAATGCTGTTAATTAAGGACAAGTCACGATGAGAGAATATTACATCATATTATATTATTTATTTTGATGAGGCGCTGCCTTAGTAACAAAATGAAGCAGAAGCTGAATTTGTGCTTCTTGATCGGTTTCACCAAAGCAGATTTGAACATCTCATTTTCAGTCATTTCGTCTGTCTATATTATCACTGATTTGTAATTTTCATTTGAGTAAAATAATTTGATTGGCTCTGTGTAAACACAGTACATGAGTGCTTTTAGGAAGAACAAAACAAGCTAATATTGCGCTGGGCTGTGAAGTAATTTGACCTTGACAACAACTTCCACATTTGCTATGACTGTATCTTATATCAAAATTAAATAGATTTCATAAAATTTGAATTTTCCTATAACAAGCAAAATTACAAACACTGCTACTTTAAACAAAACCATTATTATGTCAATTATATTCACATTTCATTCACTTCAGTAATTCATAGCTGACTGGCCTCAATAAGATAAAGCAGGTTTCTCATTCTGTATTCCCTCTAAAAACAGGAATAGATCAACTTAGTATGAAAGCACACATAAAAGTTCACCTCAGCATCAACATGTTTCATGTCTCAAAAAGGTCAAACACACAAAAGGGAATTAATTTGCCTTTTTTTTTCAAAGTCAGTAAAATAGCAGCTTTTACAGAAAAGGCTTTAGCAGACTGTCCCCTGGAGGAGATTTCCTTTTCCCCTGTTGTGTCAGATGCGGTGTAATGTTTAGATGGCACAAAAGAGATCTACTTAGCAGTTGCTCACTCAGAACTAGTTTGACTTTGAACAAAGTTTGTATTCCCCATGCTGTGGAGTTACAAACTAGCCGGGAGCTGATTTTTACGGGGTGATATTTATTGGATCCTTGGCGGATTGCTCTGAGCATGCTGCTTTGTTACTGTTGGGGGAGCGGTGAGGATTTCATCAGTGGGCTCGGGTGCTGCCAGACTTTGCTGCGTGTCAGACAGACCCTAATAAAACTGTCTGGCTGTTTTGTGGGCACCAGCTCCGCTCTGGCTGTGCTGCGTCTGACTGCTCAGCACTTGTCGCACTGTGCCTGGCTGTTTTGTATTCATGGGGCATGGCACTCCTTCAGCTGTTGCTGGGGGCTCTGTGGCATAGGCACAGACTGATTAGTTGGCATCGGCATTGTTCACTATGAAACCAAATGGGGAGACGGGGAGAAAAAAAAACATAATTAGGGAGAGAGGGAGACTGGAGACTGGGAGAGAGATGGAGAGGAGGGTATTAGAGAGAAAATCAATTGTTTTGAACTGCATTCCTAATATGGGTAATTTAGCAGAAATTAGGTTTTCAGAAAAGCATGCTGCCTTGGGAAAAATTGAAAGTTTAAAAACCAGGTCAAGCTGTAATTGTGAATGAAGTCACACCTTTGAATAGCATAAAGGAAAAGAACTATTTTTTTTAGCAGGCCTAATTTATTGTAATTGCACTTCTATAGTCGTGTTCATAAGAGACCAGTCCAATATTTCCATTTTCTATTCAGTGTTCAATCTTGTCTTTTTGTCAGCCTGTCTTGCTGAATTAAAATGTCTGTGCTAGTCTCCCTACACCTCCACTGTAAATATCGATTTAGACCATTAACCAATTTGGTTATGAGACTTCACCACAATGGCAAATTTAAACACAAACTATCAAATCAAGAAAACAACAACATTTCTGCAGAACTGATTATAACATTTTAAAAGTGTGCTTATTGATTTTTATTTAACATATGGTAAGACTATAATTTTAACACTGTCAGCAACTTAATGCATAGAGGCAGTGTGTCTACTGTCATTCACTGACAATTTAAATACATTATTTTTTATCATAAACGTAATGTATGTGACATTTTTAACCATTTCAGTCTATATTAAAAATGTATTTGTTTAGAAAACAAATAATTGTTCTGTGATTGTGATAACAAAAAAATCTACATTTGGCTTTTGTTGCAGGGGATTTATTAGATATGTAAATTAATGGGTATTAACTTTGGAACTTGCTTTTTTAAATGACTCGTTTTTTTATTTTTTAGAACGATCCAATATTTGAACACTTTTGGATAGCTGGCTGAATAACGGAAATTCCACAATGTTTCTGTGTATAAAAAGAGAAACGAAGAGGAAATAAATGAGATTGCTGCTGACAGAGGATTAAGTTAGCGGACTGCTAAAAACAAAACTATAAAAGGTGTGTATTAGAGCCTTTAGTTTTACAAAGTGACAGCGGCAGATGTGGCATTCGTCTAAGACTGCTCCTGAATGAAGCTGGACTGATCAAATTCGGAGCGACTGCCTGGTAATGGAGGATCACATATATTTGGCTGGGTCTCTGCGATACTGTGCTGTGGTGGTGACAGGGGTTAATCAACACAAGTCTGGGGTGTGGTGGTTTGGAGTGGTTGCTGTCCTGCCATTTCTAATCAGATCATGTATTCAAACAAAGATGCTGACACAAAAAGAGATTAAAATGTCGGTCGACAGCACGGTGCGGCGTAGACCTGTGTTTCGGTTTTATAGCGATGACACTGCAGCCATCATGAAATTCTTGAAGAAATGTTCTGTTTTGGGCAGTAACAAACATGCACATTCCTACATATACAGTTCCATCAGGGCTACAGTTTACTTCATTTATAAATGATGTGACGTAGGAGCCGATCGAACAACAATCCGACAAACATTTGCTCTTTATTCCTTTCATGTTCAACTCCTCTCTCTATGTCGTCCCTACCATATATATAATTCTAACAGTAAATTAGTTGGTGCTTCATTCCAACTCCACCCTTGGAACATTCGGTAGAAAGTCGATTGTGCCCTCCGCCCGCGTCCCAAGAGCCTAACCCGTGATTTTTTATCAAGAGAGCTCACAAGTTAGGGTCTCAGGGAGCAGGTGAAGTACGACAGAGTCTACTGAGGAGCCGCAGTCAGCTGCAGGGCACTGAGTGGCACTGACACCTTTCCCTCTCTCTCTCCCTCACACACACACACACACACACACACACACACACACACACACACACACACACACACACACACACACACACACACACTCTGTCTCATCCTCAGTTAAAAGTAGCCAAT